GTGACTCTCTGTGCCCTTAAGCCTGCAAAATTAATTGGAAAATGTGGGTGGGAGGGAGCCGGGCTCAGCAGTCTGCTAGAGGTGATCTGGTGGCTTCTGGTGCTTTGCAAAGTGACTCTCTGTGCCCTTAAGCCTGGGAGGTTAAGTAATACAAATATGTTTCATATAATATAAATAAGTTTAATATAAATATATGGCTTTTAATACAAATCATCATAGTTTATATGTTGTTTGTATGTTTGTACACTTTAATAAAAAAAATTTAATGTCGGCCCGTTCGCAGTTTTAACGCTAGGACCACTTTTGGCTCACAAGGTAAAATTTCTGCTCACGAGACTGCACACCTTAGAGGGAACATTGGTTTGCTCTGGAGCCATCCTTCCTGAGCTAAGACAAAAATATGTGAGCCGGAGGCTAAAAAAACCCTGTAAGCTAGCTCACACTAACTCAGCTTAGAGGAACACTGCTCACAACAACCCTGTGAGGTAGGCTTGGCTGAAAGAGTGACTGGCTCAAGATCACACAAGGAATTTCCATGGCTGAGTTCATATTTGAATCTGGGTCCCCCAGATCCTAGTCTGGCACTCTAACCACTCCACCATACTGTCTCTTTGTTGGCAGAAGGCCACCAAGGAGATCACCTGGAATTCATAGGGTGATGGAGAATGCCCCAACGAATGGATGCCACTACTGAACAGGTGCTGGTCTTCCTATGGAAGGCTTTTATCCCAACCGAGTTCTTTGCCATCCTCTTTTGCTATTGTTAACTCTCACCGCGGGTACACAAGTATTGCTTAGGCTGACTTATCGACCATTATTTATGGTTGCCATTAACTCTCTTCTCTTAGCCCTCTGGCATGTGTGGGCTGCTTGGGAGAGAGTCAGGGGTCTTCTCTCATTTGCATTAGAGTATGAATAAATGAAAAAAGTAGGGGTCTCTTCTACTGTTTGGGAAGGTATCCATCTTTTGTTGGTCATCCTACTCACTGAGGGCAATTGCCCTCGGCAAGCAAGTTTCTCGATTAAAGATTCTAACCCCTGCCATCTTTGGATTATGTTCTCACAGGGGATGGAGGGAACCCTGCTCTTCCACCCCCCTCGCAACAGGGTAAGCCCCTCCCCCTTACAGGAAGTGGCTCCCAGCCTGGGGGAGGGGTAGGAAACAACTCTCAAGACTTCCTGCTCCCACTGCTGCCGCCTCCCCTCTTCAACCAGATGGCACTGCCAAACGACCCGACGGGAGTTGTCTACAGCCTGTCAGGTTCCACCACTTCCTCTTCACCCCCAAGGCAGGTCCAGAGCCTCCCCGGCTCCTTCCCAGACATTTACGACGGGGACATGAAAAAATGGGAGGAACATTTCCGTAGCATCCAGAGGGCTTACAAAGAATTCGGCAAAGAGGACGACTTTGCTATCCGTGTCCTCACCGAGGACTTCACACTCCCATTCCCTTTTGCCTGGCCCAGCGAGGCGGAAGCATGCCAGCAACTGGCCTACGATCCTGCTGACTGCGCCGGCTTCGATTTCTTCCTGCACCCAGGGCAACCCATCCCTCGTCTTCTCCAGCCGCTGCATGCCACCACCCAGGCATTCTACAAGAAGAGACGCTTAGAGCAGCTGGCTCTCAGTTATGCTGGCAAGGCAACCCTCGTCGGTACCCCGGGGCTTCCCTCGCAAGAAACGAGTCCCCTCTTGCGGCCAGACATCATGGTCATTACCAGCATGCCGTGCGTGGCCACCGCCATGGTTCCTGGGGAGCCATCGTTTCTCTTACAGGACGGCAAAGGCCACCGGAACATCCAACCTGCCCCCGTGGCGATCCCAAACTCCACACCAGTGCAGCCACTCAACCTTCAGTTCATGAGCTCCACCAACCATGGCCCATTTTAGCTCTCTCGGTCGTTCCAGATATCACTGACAAAGTGGGATTATTTTTATTACATGAACTCCGCTTTGTATGGCTTTTCCATTAAACCTCTGGTATCTTCACCTGTGTTCCAGTTCTTGTAAACACTGTCTGACACTTGGAAGCATTTGAAGCCACTAAACTCTTCATATGCTTACAGATGGTCCATCTCACAGTCTGAGCCTGGGTCCCAATGGACAGGAACGGGTTCTGTCATCAACAAATCTAGGATGAAGCTGTTCAGTTGTCACTTTCGTTTTATTTATCAGCAAAAACTTTCAGATTGGACATTCATAATGCTCTCTTGTGGCAACGGGTGGCTGGGAATCCGCAGCTGGTATAGAGTTCTTTGGCCTAACTGTTGACCAAGACGGGGCACAGAAAAAACACTCCTTCAGATAGGGGCACTCACATCTTCCAGAGCCAATTCAACATCTTCATTATGTTACCAGGGCTGTCGTTCCATTAAAGACACTGCAGTCAATTAAACTTGTCAATTAATAAATTAAATCAGCATAGGTCAACATCTAAATAAGGATCTTTTTTGAAAGGGGAGAGCATGCTTTGTGCTTAGGTGGGGAATGTCTGTGGCACGGCAACATCTTAGAAGAGGCGCTCCCTTCCATACAAAAACAAAGGAGGCAACGCCTCTTCTACATGGCCCACCGCCTGCAGTTTTTGCCTGATTAACTGGCAGCTCTGGGTTGGGAAGCTCCTGGAGATTTGGGAGTGGAGACTGGGGGTGGAGTTTGGGGAGAGGTGGGACTTTAGGGATGCCAAGTGGGGGGGGGTGGCGGGTAAACCCCCGCTTTGGAGGCCCGATTTCCGCCACCCGGAATCGGGCCCCGGGGGGAACTCCGCCCCCCGAAGCGTCACTTCTGGTGATGCAACCACATCGATCACGTGGGTGTGGCCCCGATCGTTGGAGGGAAAACTATGGTTTTCCCTCCGATGATCGGGGCCATGCCCTCAACATGATCGACGTTGCACGTCACTTCCGGTGACATGCTGGCAGTGCGCATGTGCTTTGCGCGTGCATGACAAGGGACGGCTCCCGGAGCATGGCGAGGCTCCCGGAGCGCAGCGAGGCTCCCCCGCCGGTGAGTTAATTCAACTTGGCAACCCTATGAGACTTCAATGGTGCATAATGCCATAGAGTCCACCATCCAAAGCAGCCATTTTCTCCTGTCATCTGGAAATCAGTTGTAATCTCGGGTTGGTGACCATATGATCTGGGAAATGGTTTTTAGATGACCTAAACCATATTTTTGTTTTAAAAAAACCAAAAAACCAACTAATCCAATGGATTGATTACAGCAGTGAATTCTCAGACTTTCTGAAAGGACACCCACTTCTCAAGTTACTGTACTATTCAGGACCTTCTTTCAAAGTAACTCCATGTGTTTTCCTCCCTCCCCAACATAAAAATCAGGAATCTCACATTAGTTTGCACCAAACAAGTTGATATTTTATCGTTTTGTATTTACAGCAACCAGCTGCCTTTCATAGCCATTTCACGCATCAGACAGAGACAAGCTGAGATTTCTTCCACTGAGCCCGTGAGATGTTCCGCCCAGCTCACCCTGCTCCTCCCCTTCCCTTCTGACTTTGGATCTCACCTACGGGGAACAGTTGCAACCCACTTTGGGGTCCTGACCCAGTTTGGGAACTGCTGCATCAGACCTTGAAGACCGAGTTATTGTGTGAACAAAAGTCAAATCCATTCTGGGTACAAGCTTTCATGTGCATACACACTTCTTCAGATGGTATCTGAAGAAATGTGCATGCATGCAAAAGCTTATACCCAGAATTAAACTGCATTGGTCTTAAAAGTGCTACTGGACTCAGCCTTTGTTCTGTTGCTTCAGACCAACACGGCTACCCCCCTGAATCTAGCTATTTCCCGTAAAATGTAAATCTCTAGGCCTTGCATACCTTAGGAATGTTTCCTTCCACATGATGCTCAGGTCCAAGGATGAAACACTAGTCCATGTGCCTTTCTTTAAACGGGTACCTTGTATCCATGTATGGAGCAGGAACATTTAGGTTGTGGCACCTACATTGGTTTTCCCCCCATTTAATTTATTAGGTTTTAATAAACAACACAAGAAGCAAAGTTTTACAGTATAATTTGAGTCAACACACATATTAAGTCAACAAGTAACTATATCGACTTCGTAACAATTTGTCAATATAATATACATAAACCGCTTTCACCTAATCTCAGAAGTATAACAGATTTTGATAATATGGATTATTTGGAACTATTCCGCTTTCTACCAAGTAGCCTAGCACAGGAAACCAAACTGCTTTAAACAATTTCTGATTTTTCCCCCTGTATTTGATGGTGTTAGATTTGTTATAATCTGACTATAAATGAAAAATTCCCATAGTTTGTTTTGTCAAAGAGTTGGACCGTTTTTGTCGCCATTTTTGTGCAGTAGCTAGAAGTGTAGAAATCAACACCTACATTGTTGAAGATTCTTCTTGTATGTCACCAGTGGGTAATGACCTACCTGCTCTCCTTCAAATTTAGTCTTGTCTTTTGGCTTTTTAAGTATTGGTTTGTTGTTGATCTCACTTGCATTAATCATGTTAACTGGTAATTCTATAGATGTTGACTGTGATTTTACTGTTGTGTGTGTGCCTCCTTGGAAAGTTTTGTAGAAAGAATACAAGCAACTGTTTTGAATAAATAAATAAAACTTCAGATGATCTAGAGGTATGGGACAGTGGATCCTCTTCTCTCACTCTTAGGATTGCGATCCAAAGTCACTCAGAGAAGTGGTGGCATGGATCTTGGCCAAGTGAACAAGTATAGTGGGAATGGGACATTTGAGCACAGCCAGTTTGGTGTGGTGGTTAAGAGTGCAGATTCTAATCTGGGAGAACCGTGTTTGATTCCCCACTCTTCCACATGCAGCTGCTGGTGTGACCTTGGATCAGTCACAAGTTCGCTCAGAGCTATTCTCTCAAGAGCAGTCCTCGAAAGAGCTCTCTCAGCCCCACCAACCTCACAGGCTGTCTATTGTGGGGAGGGGAAGGGAAAAGAGACTGTAAGCCACTCTGAAACTCCGAGTGAAGGGCCGGGTATAAATCCTGTCTCTTCCTTGTATCCAAGAATTTCTCACGAAGAGGATAATAGCCTGTTTACTTCTTTCAGTGCCTCCTTGCCTGTATGTTTTAAGAAAGGGAGAGTAGCCCTCCTGACCTGAAGAGCCCTGGCTAGCCCAGTTTCATCAGATCTTGGAGGCTGAGCAGAGCTGGCCCTTGTTAGTACGTGGATAGGAGACCACCAAATGAGAAGGGAGCACTCCCTGGAGAACACCCTGATGCTGGGAAAAATTGAAGGTCAAAGAAGACGGGGATGGCAAAGGATGAGATGGTTAGACAGTGTCATCGATGCAACGAACATGAAGTTGAGCAAACTTCAGAGGATGGCGGGAGACCGTAAGGCCTGGCGTGATCTGGTCCATGGGGTCGCGAAGAGTTGGACTCGACTGTGCGACTGAACAACAACAACAAGGAGACCACCAAGGAAGTCCATGGTTGCTACGCAGAGGCAGGCGATGGCACACCACCTCTGAAAACTCTCCAGGGTTACCATTCAGATGTGTCTTGATGGTACTTTCCACCAGCACGGTAGTCACATGGCTCTGCCAGTGGTGTGTATTTTGTCTGGATACTAGCTGGCCCAGCTTTCCTTCTTAAAGAAAACGGTTAGTCTTCTAACCCTTATAGATTGAGAGATGCAGTTCTGTGCAGTCGTCGTAACTGGCCCCATTCTTCTGTGGAAGACACGGCTGTAACTAACCAACTTGATACATCTCTGCCCAACAAGCTTCGCTAAGAGGAAGGCACAATCAAGCCCTAGCATGGCTGAATGGTGAAAGAAAGAAAGAAAGAAAGAAAGAAAGAAAGAAAGAAAGAAAGAAAGAAAGAAAGAAAGAAAGAAAGAAAGAAAGAAAGAAAGAAACGTTTCCTCTGATTCATCCCCAATCTTTAGGCTTCGTTTCCAGAAGCCGACACAAAATTACAGAGTAGACAATGCAGCAGATTTGGGGGAACCAGAGGATGTCAACCCCAATATCTTTGATAAGTTAGCTGCAGGCAAGGCGGTTGCTGTTGCACGTAAACAGGCCATGGATCAATGCTTCCTGAGAACACTCTGACAACACCTCAGAGCTAAATAATGATGCTGGTGCGCTGCTCTCAGCTTGGTGGTTCATGACCTGGTCCAGACGTAGTGTGTCAGAAGGAGATTTTGAGCACTGTCCAGCTTCACGTAGAGATCTGCCATATTTCCAGTACCCACTAGCTCAGTCCCACTCTGCACCCTTGAATTCTTGCTTCCTTAAAAGACAGGGCATGTGTCAGCACTACTGTATCGTCCACATGGAGTACACCCTACAGAGCTGAAGCCGCACAGGTAAGGACATGAGAAGAGCCCTGCTGGATCGTAACAGCGAGGGTCTATCTAGACCAGCATCCTGCCTCACACAGCAACCCAGCCTGTTCCTCTGGAGGTCCAACAGGGCATGGAGGCCGAGATCCTTTGCCTGAAGTTGCCTCCTAGCGCTGGGATTCAGAGGTTTACTGTCTCTGAACGTGGAGGTTCCCCTCAGTCACCATGGCTAGTAGCCACTTATCCAATGTAGAAGGCATTGCAAGGCTGTATCGTTTAGATTCCACCCCCCTCCTGACTTGGTTTTAATGTCTAGTTGCGTTAATGTTCAATATGTCGGTTTTCTCGTTGGCTTTAATTTGCTCGCTTGGTTGCAAAACTCTTTTGAGCAATGAGGAAAAGCAGTAGAGAAATATCATTAAGGAAATCAGAGGAATGCCCGCAAGCTAGAAGAGTAACCAGATAATGAAACCCTAACCCTGACTGTTCCCTGGAAGGCCAGATAATGAAACTGAAGCTCAAATACTTTGGCCACCCAATGAGACGGGAGCACTCACTGGAGAAGACCCTGATGCTGGGAAAGATTGAAGGTCAAAGAAGACGGGGACGGCAAAGAATGAGATGGTTGGACAGTGTCATAGATGCAACGAACATGAAATTGAACCAACTTCAGAGGACGACGGAAGACAGGAGGGCCTGGCGTGATCTGGTCCATGGGGTCGCGAAGAGTCAGACTCGACTGTGCGACTGAACAACAAACTACATCGATGATTATATTTCTATTGTTTTTAACTGTGAACTCAATATATGAACATTTCTATGATTGTACAGCACCCTAAGCCCTGCTTTACGGTGGAGGGCAGTCTAGAAATTTAGTTTACTAAATAAATATTTTAAGTAGGATCCTTTTTATGTAATTTCTGTACCGTTTAATGTGTCATGTTAATACTTATACTATATTTCAGTTCTTTTCCGGTGGTTCCAGACTTTCAATATCGTAATACGTTGGTTATTGAATGTCCCATTTTTTTCAATTGCATTGACCCACAATGTGTAAATCTGCCTTGAGATCCTTTGAGAAAGGTGGATTATAGATAACATAAAAATAAAGAAACAAGTAAAAAAATTCCTCTTCAAATGCGGCCTCATGAAAAGTGTGCTGCAGAACTCAGTACAAGGACTTGGATCCCTGATTGCCTGGGGCAACCAAATACAGCTAGTTGGCATTCAAGGCTTTCCCTGGGCAGCCAGCATTCTGGTGAAACTGGCATCCCACCAGCCCTGCATTGGCTCCCCCATCATCACAATCATCCCCATCAACACAATCAAAACGCAATTACCTTCCCCCCATATACAACTGATAGGTTCAGGAATTCGTTCCGACAGAATGACAGGTGCTGGATTTGATGGAAGAGAGCAAAGATCTAGGAGACATTCGCGCAATGATGGGACTGAACTCCAAAATACTGGAAGATCATCTCCAGCAGTTGCACACAGATGTGCCAACTTGAGAGGAAGACCCGCTCAGCAGAAGACTGAGGAGCCCTCCGTAACTTCCTCTATATCTGAGGCTCCCTGAACCCCAGATTCTCCCAGGAAAGAGCCACCTACCTTCTCTAAGACAGAAAGCTCTAGGGGAACAAGCTGCTGAGGAAGCCTTGGACTGGAACTGTTCATCTCTAGCACTCCAGGACCAAAAGTCTGGACCAGAGGAAGCAGCACTGAGCTGGAAGCTTGAGACATCCTGAACTCGTGTCTCATGCCGGAAGACAGCCTCGCTCTCTCGCTCCCTGCAGGATCCATGAACCAACTCTGGCTACAGGAAAGGGGAGGGATTATGGGGTCTCCGTATGAACCTTCACTTGAACTCTGGCTCAACAGTTCTCCAGCCTAGGTTATGCTACCCTGGGACAACAGCTCCCTGTAGCAAGGATCCTGTTTCAGCCAGGCCTGCTCTTGCCTGCCAGAGACACTGTGCCTTTCCGTCTGGTTGTCTAAGGAAAGAACAGGGTGAGATGCTGTATCACAGTAAGGTGGACCCTTGTGGTACCCCACAGGCTAACTCCCATGTGATGCAGCAGGGGTCCTCAACCTTTTTTTTTTGCCTGTGGGCACTTTTGGAATCCTGAGACAGGGTGGGCCAAATCCTAAAATGGCTGCCATTGCAGGCAGAACCAAACACACAGAGGAGGCCCAAGTGCAGAGGAGAAGAGAGGTAGTTTTTTTAAAAAAAAATACACTGGGAGGAAGGGAATGAGAGAGACTAACACCGTCTCTGTGGAGGCAGCTGCTGCTGGAATCAGGAGGGGCTGTGGCTCAGTGGCAGAGCATCTGCTTGGCATGCAGCAGGTCCCAGGTTCAATCCCCGGCATCTCCAGTTAAAAGATTTGGCAGTAGGTGATGTGAAAGACCTCTTCCTGAGTCCTCGGAGAGCCGCTGTTGGTCTGAGTAGACAGTACTGGACCAAACGTCTGGTTCAGTACAAGGTAGTTTCATGCGTTCGTGTGATGTTATTCTAATCTAAGGTGACCAACATCCAGATAGGGACTAGAGAGCTCCTGCGATTACAGTGGATATCTCAAGCAGCAGAGCTCAGTTCCCTTGGAGAAAATGGCTGTTTTGGAGGGTGGACTCTATGGAATTATACTCCGACAAGGTAGTTTCATGTGTTCGTGTGATGTTATTCTAATCTAGGAGGGCCAACATCCAGGTAGGGACTAGAGAGCTTCCGGGACTACAATGGATATCTCAAGCAGCAGAGCTCAGTTCCCTTGGAGGAAATGGCTGTTTTGGAGGGGGGGCTCTATGGAATTATACTCCGCTGAACTCCCCCCTTCCCCAAAGCCTGCCTCCGCAGGCCCCACCCACAATATCAAAAGTTCACTGCCTTACATGTGTAACAGGGGCTTTGTTGCATGTTGTATCATGTGCAACAGGGGCTTTGTTGCATGTTGTATTCTGTACTATTTGACCTCTGAAAAAGGCTCTTGTAGGCCAAAATGCGTCAGGTCATATATGGCTCTATTTGTGTATTTGTCACTTTGAATTATTTTATGAGGCTTTATTTAGGCCCCTACAAAGTTTTTATACGTTTTTGAAATAAACATGTGTACTTTTGTCAATACCTACTGATGTTTAACTTTTGGCCCTTTAATAGTGTTCTAAACTTCCTTGAGCTGCGGTGGCTCAAGTGGTTAAGACGCTGAACTGCAGGCTGTGGAAGGTCGGTAGTTCAGCAGTTAGAGACCTGAGTGTGCCGCATGACGGAGTGAGCTCCCGTCTCTAGTTCCAGCTCCTGCCAACCTAGCAGTTCGAAAGCAAGAAATTGCAAGTAGATAAATAGGTACCACTTCGGTGGGAAGGTAACAGCGTTCCGTGCGCCTTGGTGTTTCGTCATGCCGGCCACATGACCACGGAAACGTCTTCGGACAGCGCTGGCTCTTCGGCTTGGAAACGGAGATGAGCACCACAACCCTAGACTCGGACTCGACTGGCTTTCGAGCAAGGGAACCTTTACCTTTTTAAACTTCCTTTGGAGGTTTTGTGGTTGGTTGGTTTAGTTCTTCTTCCCCTCCCTTTGTGGGTCCACCCGGAAGTCTTCAGGAATTTCCCAACCCAGTGCTGGGAACCCTATTTTAATCTGCACCGCCAATCAGGTCTTCAGTGGCAAATCAGAAGCTCTGCTGAGCAGGAGCCCCACCCACCTTCTAAAAACGCCTGGTGAGCTCCGCGAAAGGTATCTGCCGGTGCACAGCAACAAATTGCGGTGCTACCCTCAGGCACCAACCTGTTTTGTTAAAAGTAGAATGAGAAGTGGCCAAAGATGTTTTAGTCTTGCACGGTAACTCTCAGGAGACCCAGGAGACCCAAGAATTCCTGGATATCTTTCAACCACAGCCACAACCCAGTGGGGCTTTGGGGGGCTCGGCTCCCTTTCTTAAAGGCACAGCCCCACAAGAAATTCTCCTCTAAATGCTTTTTTCAATCATTTAAAAACATTTTGTTAGAAAGGCGTGTAATCCTTTAAGCAGAGTGGGGTGCTGTAGTTGACTATCTGAGCAAGGGGTTGGAGTAGGTGACCTCTAGGATCCCTTCTAACTCTGTGTCAAGAAACTGGTCTCCTGTAAGAGTTTTTCTGCCTAAGGGTTAGCTTTCTGGACTATACAAGTCATCACCCCCCACCTGCCAGCTTGTTATCAGAATTGTTGCTAAGGCTGGCAGAAGTGATTAACTTGCAGCAGCTGAGAACTGTCATCTCAAGTGGTTGACAGTTTTCAATTTAGAGATCTATCCCGGTCACAGCTTCCTATTGGCTAAATGGCTTTTCTTTCTGCACTGAGAATTTCAGCCCTGCCAGGGGGAAAAATTTGCCCAAGCCACAAAATCCTGGCTATGGGACTGGTATTGCCCTGTGAAATCCACATTTGAAACACACCCGTGAGCTGGTCAGGTCATGCATATCCAAAAGCAACTTCTCCTAAAGAGTGGGGAGATCAAAGCTTCCTTTAGAGTACGAGGAACCTTCTAATGGTCTGTTCGCCATGAGCGTGTTCAACTGAAGACCAAGCCGGTTTTGCAAGCCACAACAGGCGAGGATCAAGGGAATACAAATGTACCCTTGGTGCTCTAAAGATTCTCATCTATATTCCTTAGGCAATAACTCCGTGACATTTTCCCTAGATAAGGACTTGCTTCAAACTTCCCTGCTAAGCATGCACCAACAATGGCGTCCAAGCTGGAGCAGATATGAGGAATCCCATTCACAAAATGTGTATTGAATCGGTCACAAGCAATGCTCCCTCTAAGCCGTGGACCCTTGTGAGCCAAATTTCTACTTTGTGACCTGTTGGCATTAAAGTTGTGAGCGAGCGATTTGGCTCCTGCATAACTTAGTCTGCTCTGGAGCCCTCCTTCCTGAGACAAAAATGGGTGAGCCAGAGGCTAAAAAATTGTGATCTAGCTCACACTGACTCAGCTTAGAGGGAACACTGGTCACAAGCCTCTGAGGAACAGGCAGACGTCAC